TTCTCACACACTGAAACCAAAAAGCAAATAAATCCACCTGAGAATTGTCAGTGTTGGTGAACTTTTAGGTGATAAAGTTTGGCTGAACCTGTCAAGGAGAAATTTCCATTTCTGCTTGTCAAGGAGAACTCAGGATAAATATGCACTGGTGTTACTGGTGTCTTTGCCTAATCCATGGTGACAGTGAGGAGGCTGGAACTCCTGAGCTGGGGGCAGTGGCTAAATGTTACTGTTCTGAACTATAAATCTAATATGATATTATAAATCTAATATGATATTATAATTAGGTGGGGTTTAGGAAACTAGGGAACATGATCATCTTGTGTAACCTTGAATATCCCTGTTAGGAAACAGATTCACAGCATTGATATCTAGTGTCAAAAAAGGGCTTAGTTTGCAGTGAAATTATCATCATCTGATTTGTTTGATTTCAAAGTTTGTTGGTTTTCACAGATTTTGGCTTGGACACTGTTCTGCTGAACTGAAATTTTCGATTTCTCTGTTGCTTCCAGGTTATACTGTCACTGGGTTTCCCTCTTGATTTAGAAATGAAGGATTTTGAAGGTAAAAACGTTTGCACAAATATTTTACAGCAGCCTGAAAACCTGTATTGGCTGTTTCATTGTCTGCTGCCCGTTGGGATTTGGGGCTGGGAGACCAGAGTGGGTTCAGGAACTGCCTGGGGGGGAGGCAGTTGTGTCTGAGCACTCAAATGCCACGGAATTGAATGGTTCAGAGGGGATTCAGTGCACAACTGGAAACGAGCAGGCACTGGAGAGCCCCAAAAATTGTCCATGCAGGCAATGTGGTACATGGGAAAGCAGAGAAGGGCTTGTGTCTTGGCAACACATGCAGAGAGAGGCACGTGCTCTCTGTGCCAGCTCTGCCTCCTCTCTGTGCAGCAGTATTTCGGGTTGGACTGTGGATCTCTCCCTGCCATCCTTGTTTTTGCAGGCCATACCCCCCTGCACTGTGCTGTGCTGGCCCACAACGCCCTACTCCGGGAGCAGAGCTGCCAGAGCCTCACCCAGGAGCAGCACAAAGCCCTCCAGCAGCAGAGTGAGGAGCTGGAGTCCTGCATCCACCTCCTGGTGCACACCGGGGCCTCCATCTACAGCAGGGTGAGGGGCAGCTCGGCCATCCCTCAGTCCTCCCTGGCGCTTCTGCCGTGCTAAAAATGGGGAATTGGAGAAGGGATGTTCCAAGGGACTGGTTGCAGAGTTAGGTGCTGCTTTTGGGGGCTCCTTTCTTGCAGCCTGGAGCAAACACTGGGCGGTCAGAGGGTCGCTGAAGGGAAGGAGATGCTCCACAGGAGCTGCAGAGCTGGCCTGGGTTTATGGAATATCTCCAGGTTGTTCTGAAGAACAGTTCTTATTCTGTTTGGGTTTTGTTTTGTTTGGTTTTTTTCTCCTGTTTTTATAAACAGGATGTGAAAAGCAACAAGACAGTCCTTCATTACACAGTCCAGGATGGGAACATCTCCCTGCTCAGATACTTCTTGGAGCTGAACGCTTTCAAGTCCAAGGACTTTGTCAACAACAAGGTGAGTCAGGGCGAGCCTGGGGGGGATTTGTGAGCACAGCTCCAGGCAGAGGAGATGCTGGGAGTAGTGTGGGAGCTGTGCTGCAGTGGGAGGCTGCACCAGAGGCATTGGGGTCCTCCAGATTCCAGTTCTTCTCTTCCCACACACACGTTTTTGTCTGTCAAAAAGGAATTGAATGTTTTCCATCAGCTCACTCAGGAGGCAGATCCTGGACAGCTTCAGTCCTTTTTTTACCCTTCAGATTTCTGTAGGAAGCATGTTTGGCTTTGTGTCTGTGGGTAAAGGCACTGAGTTTGTGTCTCTCTGTCCAGTGAAGGGCCTTTTCCCTACATTCCTTCTGTATCTTTGGAGACCCATCAGGCAGGTGCTGGCTTGTCCATGGCAGGCTGCTCTTGTCTCTTGATCACAACCCTCAGAGAGCTCCCTACTGTGATAGGATCACTTGGAGTCTTCAGCCTTGTTGCTGAGCTGTCTGGGACAGTGAGAAATGTGATGGGGAGGTTGTCTGATACCCAACCTGGATTTTTAGCTCTTCTAAGTACGAAGAAAACAAGGAAACAGGCACCCTGCAGTCCATATTTTTGGCTTCCCTGGCTCACCCACTGCTTGCTGTGGTTGTCTCATTGCAAATCTGCTTCCTTGGGGATTTCACAATGGGAAAAAAAAAAAAAACCCACTGAGATCTTAAAGGTCTTTTTCACCTGAAGGGTTCCCAGAGCCCACATGTTGGTGCTCTGGCCGTTGTCTCCCATCAGCCCTGTTAAAGTCAACATGAGGCTTCAAGGTCAGGCATTGTCAGATCCTTGTTTTCTGAGCCCAGGCCTGGATTTGGAAGTTATCAAGTGCTCCTGCCACAAAGGTGCAGCAAACAAATGCAGATATTTCCATTTTAACGAGAAATCCTGTAAAGAGCTTGTAACTGTCCCTTGGCTCTCTGGGATAATAAAATAGACAAGGATCTGCTTGTTCAGGGCTTGTAAAATGTGCCTTGTCTGACAAGAGCTGTTAGGATCTTGCTATTGTATTTTCTGCCTCAACATCCCTGATAAATAGGACCTGAAAATCATGTGTGTTCGTTTTAACAGCTGGAATAGCAGCACACATTGCAATTTCTGCCCAACCATTCCAAGTTCACGACAAATGTATGGTCTTTTCTGAGAGAAAAACAAGCAGCTGCCCGAATGAGACTCTTGCAGACTAAAAATACCTCCCCTTATGCATTTGTTTATTAGGTTTTTCTCATTTAAAACCGTTACCAGTCATAACTGACTAGACAGGGCCCAGATTTCTGCACGGTCTGGTGGCACCAGAGCTTTCCTGCCCCAAATTGCAGCACTCTCCATCCTGCCCCCCTGCCCAGCTCCACAGCCAGCTCTGTCCTTCTCGTGCAGATCCTGTTACTGGAACAGCTGGACTCGATCCACACTCAAGGGAGTGCCTGACCTCAGGATTCTGCAGCTTTCTGGCCCTTGCAAGTGTTGGGAAAGGGAGCAGTGGGGGTGTGTGGAGCACAGCTGGCTCTGCTCTTGTCCAGCCCATGCGTGGTGTGTAGCAGCACAATGGGCTTTGTGCCTCCCAATCCTGCTTAATGCTTCCCAGGGAAATATTTCCATGGATAAACATGCATGTTCCATCCTTCTCTCCCTCAAATAACCCCTCAGGTCTCTGCTCACACGAGGGTATGGTTTAGCAGGGGGTTGTAGAGTGATCAGGAATGTTGTTGGTACAGGGTTTATATTTAGTTATACCCCAAGCATCAAAGCCCCACAGTTTGTAGTGCTCTAGAAGAGAGAAAAATCTAAATCCACAAATCTCCTGCATGGGAGAAACAGAGCAAAGATCCTCCCTCACCTCCTGGTTAGTGATGACATGGAGCTTCTTCAGCTCTTGTTTCACAGATCTCCATTTCAAGGACAACCCCGAGGAGGTGGCACAGCTCAGCAGGAGCTTTATCTGAGCTTTTTTACCTCTTTTCCTTTCAGGCACATGGCAACACAGCCCTGCACATGGCAGCTGCCCTGCCAGGGCACAAGAACCAGAAGGAAATGGTGCAGCTGCTCCTGGCCCACGGGGCAGACCCGAGCATCAGGAACCTGGACAACGACCAGCCCATCCACATGGCCCCCTCTGGGAGAGCTGGGGACCAGGTATGGGATTGCTGCTCACCTGCACACTCAAAGGGGCTTGGGTTTTGTACCTGCAGCTGTGAAAAGGTTCCTGGAGCTCCCTGGTGTGTTGAGATGTGTATTTAGTTGCACATATTCATGTATATAAGTGTGTGTGTGTGTATGCTTTGGGTTCAGATGGTGCTTTATGAACTTCTCCTTTTTTTTTGGCAGGTCAGGCATTTGCTGAAGAAAGGGAAAGTTGCATCTGCCTTCCTTTCCTGCCGCCGAAATGCCAGATCCTAGGCTGCCTGAAATTCATGGAATGGCTTCACCTTCAGCTTGCTGATGGCCTGAGGCCTCTCATACAGACTGTGAGGGTGGTTCACCAACAAATCCCTGCTCCTACCAGGGTGGGAAGACAGTGTTTCTCAACCTGGAGATGAGATTTCAAATGGCTGAATACTGAATTTTGCTACCAAAGAATACTGATAAGCCTCAAGCTTTGTTTGCAGGGAAGGAGGCAGGCAAAGCAAATGGCTGTTCCAGGAATAAGGACGTGTTTGAAGCACAGCCAAGCTTTGATTTGGTGGCAACTGAAGCCCGTGGAGGTGGTGGAGCACCAGGTGGTAGTTTGGCTACAAAAAGGTTGAGAAATGCTGCTCTGAGACACCCTCAAACTGTGCCTCCTTTTGGGTCCTGCACAGAGGTACTGGTTGAAATGCTGGAGCCTTTGTGATGTGCAGTTCCCACTGATCCTGCTGCCCTGGGAATGCAGGAACCTGAGGGGAGGGAAAAGGCTGGATGGAAGAGGTCAGGTCAGCCTGAGGAGTCATCCAAGGCTGTTTTTCACCAGAGGGAATGGACATCCAAACCAAGACCCCAGAGAGGGTTATTTCAAACTGCTGCTACCCCATTTCTTAGTGCTTTGGAAGAAACCTGAAGCAGCTCCCCATGGCCAGTCTCTCACCCCACCCCAAGAAAAGAAAACAGATGGTTTTAAGAGCAAGTACAAGGGGCAGGTTCTCAGCAGCACAGGTTTGGGTGGCTCCTCAGTGCTTCCCAGTGCAGGGATTCCTCTTTGAGACACCTAATCCAGTCCCAAATCTCCAGCTCTGGTGGCACAGAATAGCTCAGAAAACACCTCAGGGTGGGGAGCTGAACCCTCACCTGAGCCTGTGTAGGAGACACAGGATTCCTTTGGGTCTGAGATAACTTTTAGGCAGGTCCAGGGTAGAAAACCCGTGTGGGTCTGTGCACAGCAGGGTCAGAGTGCAATGGGTGAGCCCCCTCCCATTGCCATTCTCAGCTGAGGGGGAGTCTCAATGGGTTCTTCTTAGTGTTTCTGTGAAATGGTTGGTGAATTGCTGTGCAATCACTGCAGAAGTGGCTCTGCTGGCTCAGCACACTGAGGGCAGGTGCCTGCAGGGAGCCAAAGCCACGTTTTGCCCCCCCTTTGGCAGAGGATGTCTCAACCCCCAGCGCTCCCCCCGAATTCTAGTTGGCTGATTTCTCAAGGCTGCACAAGTTCTTTTCCCTGACAGGCCAGAGGAGTGAAGTGAAGGGCAGAGCCCTTAAATCACTGCAGCACTTCCTCGATCCCCCCCTGCCTGACTCGGGGCGTGGGAGTTTCTGGAGCACTGTCAGTCTCCCAGGCCTGCAGTGTTTAAACAACTCTTTAGCAGACTGGAACAAAAGCTCTTAAGAAATGCAGAGATCTCGATTTTCCAGCCCTCCTCTCTGCTGTTTTGCTATTGCTTCCCACTACATCACATCTCCAAACCTGCCAACATCCCCTGAAGAAAAAAAAAAACCAGCCATGTATTTGCATGTGTTTGCATAAATTTGCATATACCTGGGCATAGGCCAGCAAAAGCATGTGCTTTCTTACTTTGAAGGATGTTATAACAAGCCCTGGATTGAGGGATAACTATCAGTGAGTTAGTACCGTGTGTCAAGACAAAATGATCAATAAAATGTCCATTTCTTGAACTTGCCAGCGACAAAGCTACCAGACTATGTGGCATGTGATGCACCAGGGAACATGTAAAAAAGCTTTTTGCCATCTAGAAATGTCTGTGGGATGACTGGAGTCCTTTTGCAGCACGTGTTAAAAAAAAAATACATGGGTTCTTTTTCTCAAGTGGCTTTTCTCTGTGTTGTGTCACCTGCCTGCTGTTGGGTGATCAGTGCAGAGCAATGTGGTTGCTGTAGCTGTTTGTAATTGCAATGGGATTGTCTGGAATCATCACCACCTCCAGAATATCTGGGAAAACGTCCTCCTGGGGAGGGATGTGGCTCCATTCAGAGCATCCCCCTGGCAGCTGGTGTTGCTCGGAGCTGACAGGTGAGGTTTGCAGTGGGAAGAGCCCGTGACAGACACTGGAAGGATTCCTTCTCTCTCCAGGTATGCCTGTGCCTAAATTCCCAAAGCTGAGACATCAGAGGGCTGCTCTGAAGCCACAACCAACAAGTTATTCATGTTGGCTTTGGACTGGAGCCACCAGACAGCTGGAGGCTGCTGCAGGTAGAACTCCTTTCCAACCAGACTGTGTAACAAGAAAATCCCTTTTAAGCCTCCAAGGTGTCTTCTGCACTGGGGGAATTTCACTGGTTTAAACAGTTCACACTTAACCCCTCAATTTTCTGTGGCTGTTTCAGGGGAAATGTGACTTCTCCCACTGGCAGTGTGTGATATCCCTTTATTTGCACAGTTTATCTCTTCCTACCTGTGGCTTTGGAGAAGTTGCTAATAACAAAGGCTTGTTATCACCAAACAAATGCTCTGAAGTGGCACCATAGAAAAGCTGTCAGTCGGTTGGCAAGCCAAACTTTTAGATCAAATACTCTGTGCAACTGGTAAAGAACTGGGAAAATAAGAACCTTTTCTTTTCTCTATAACTGCAGGTTACTTTTGGAGTTATTCATGGCTTTTGTAAGCATGAGATGATCCTCATTTTTGTGTAAACACGTGTTTATAAAGGCTGGCAGGGCTTCACCTGGCAGGGACTGATGACACACCAGAGTTTCAATAGGGCTGTACCACCTCTCAAAGTGACTTTGAACCCTTTTTTTATTTTGGGGGGGATAAAGGAGGGAAAGAATGTGTTCCTCATAGCCAGAAAATGCACAATCAACCTTTGAATGGTTCCTCTGTTGTGTTTTTTTTTTCCTTCCTTGTGTCAACAAGACGTTGTGTCAACAGCCAGCAAGCTTTTACTTGCACTGCATGTGTGGCCTGGAGCTGTTGACAGGGAGCTGGGGAACAGCATCTCAGACATGTTTCCAGTCTGGGACGTTGCAAAACAACTGGAGAAGGAGCAGCAGGGCAACAGGAAGAGGCTGCAGGGGATGGAGGGCAGTGATACTTAATTAATGGAAGCTGTTAGAGCCTGGAGACCTTGGTGCATAGAAATATTTTGCCAAAAATATCCTTATCCCAGTGGAGTAGTTGATAATTTCAGAGCAGCTGAGGCTACTAGATGTGGAGGTGAAAGATATCTTGTTAGCCTCTAGCCCTTGATTTCCTTGCTGGAGCTGTTGTGTGGATTTAGGATACTCCTCCCCTCGCTGTGAGATGTATTAACACGAGCCCTCCTCGGGTGCTTAGCTACCATCTCACGTGCCCTGTGCTCTCCAGAGCATCCCCTTGGCTCTGTCAAGCTCAGGCCAACGTTGCCAGCCCGTGGGGAGGATGTGGACACCCCATTTCCTCCAGAAGCCTCAGGAATTTTGCCTCAGCCTTATCTCCTTCTGGCTCTTTCACTTTACTGATAAGGGGCTTTGACCGTGGCTCAAGGTGCTCCTGCTCCTTGAGTAGTGGCACTGAGCAAGGCTTGGAGCAGGCTGGGGCAGGAGTGTTGCCCTCCACTGTCCCAAAATAACACCCAGGGGGTGAAGCACCCACCAGCACTGCTAAAATGACACCTAGCAGGGTGTCTCTGCACGGGGGTGATCACACCTCGAACCGCTGCAAAGACACAGCTGTTTGTAAGTGTTCTGTGACCTGATGACTTTATCACTTTGGCAGCCTCTGAGATTAATCAGGTAACGGCAGGGGGGAAGGGGAGATATTATTTGAAGTTGTCAAAATATTTTAAAGCATGTTTTGGAGGAAAAAAACCTGCCACCTGGCATAAGGTAAAGGGACTGGAAAGCTTTTCAGTGAAGTGCAGAAGTGCCTGGAGGAGGTGAGCACACAGCTAGATAAATTATGGCTTTGTCTTCACAGGTGATTAGGTTTTTTTTCATTTTTGTTGGATTTAATGTGAAAAGATGCTTCTTTCTTTCCAGTCTGGGTGCTCAGCTGAGAAACTGGTGTCTTGGCAATCTGCCTCCCCCAGTGCTATTAAAAGGAGACGAGACAGAGTCTTAGAAAGGTCTGGGTTTATGCAAGAAACAGGAAATACTCAGGTGTAACTTTCCCATTATCTACTTCAACAACAAAAAAAAATCATTTAGCTCCTGTTCAGTTGATTTTGCTGAAAGGTGCAGAAAAAAAATGTTATCAACAGCCCCAACTCCACAAAGGGCTGCCAAACTACCTCAGCTTCTCGCTTCTCACAGGGAAGCTGGTGCTGAGCAGCAGCCAAAGAAGTTTGGCAGCTGATTCCACCTCTTTGCAGCTCTGAGGGGCCCTGGGCTTGGGTGGAAAACAGCAGTTTTCTGCCAATGCCACTAGGGAACATCATCAGGGCAGCAGGTGAGGAGCTGCAGATCCAGCTCACAGCTCTCTGTGGGGACAGTGCTGGGCTCTGGGTCACACACACAGACCTTTCATCTGCTGGAAAGGTTAAAGTGACACCTTTCCTGTCACTGAGTCAGTGCTCCTCGTGCAGCTCCTCAAAACCTTTCTGTGAGGACAGGGGCAGCGCCCTGGCTCACCAGCACGAGAGAAAAGCACTGACATTGAGCACGTGAGGAATGAAGAGGCTTCAGCAGGTGCACAAAATCATTTATTGGTATCAAAAGGAGCCGGCGTGACGACCTGTCGGATAAGGCAGCTTTGGATCTCTTTAAAAAACAACAACATCAACAAAAACAGACAGGAGGGGGGGAAAAACAACCCCAGCAGACCACCACCACCACGACAACATCAAGGAGGATTAATGTAGTGACAGCATGGTGTACAAAAACGTGTGAGTAGTGCAGAACAGCCCGGGCTGTGTCAGGCAGCACGACTTTGCATAGTTCATGGGCAATTAAGCTGCTCTGGGTGGAGTGGGTGTGCAAAACCACAGCCCCCATTAGCTGTAGCAGATGTCCCAGCTCCTGTCCCTCCTGAAGAAGTCCTCGGCCATGGCCAGGGGGGGCAGGTAGTCCAGGCAGTCCGTGCTGGGGCAGGGGAAGCACTGGGGGACCCTGCTGTCCCAGGGCTGGGAGCCACAGGCTGTGCAGCAGCAGGCAGGGCTGGGGAAGGGGCAGGGGGCAAGGCAGGACCACTCCTCCCCGGGGCAGCCATAGGTCCTGGTGTCCAGAGCAGGGGGAGGGCTGGGGGTCAGCGGGGTCAGAGGAGAGAGCTGGGCAGGGGAGCAGCTGTAGTTCAGTGGGCTGGGCAGGTCAGCTGAGCTGGGAGGGCTGGCAGCCTGCAGGGTGAGGGAGAGAGAGAAAAAAAAAAACAGGAGAAAGGAAAAAAGGACATTTCAGGGCATCGTCGGGGGAATTGTGGGGTGTTTGGGAAATGTGGAGAGCAGGCAGAATTTGCCTTTCTCAGGGGGGGCTGCCTACCCAGGGAGATGGTTTGGTCTCTGGGGGTCTAAACCCAGGAGTTTAGAGTGAGTTCCTGTGGCATTAGTGTTAATAGGGAGTTTCTCTGTGAGTTAGACAGGTACTAGCAGGAACTTTGCTGAAAACCTACAGGACCTGCAGAGGGAACATCCCCTGTTCTGCAGTCTCTCTCTTGGTTTGTCTGGGCCTCCCTGTCCTCTGGGAAACCCTTCAGAGCCCACCCAAGCAGCCTGTGTCACTGCATCCCCTAAAAGCAGCCAGATTCCCAAAGTGGTTGGCTGCTGCTCTGCCCCAGGACGTGACTCCCTTCCCCACTTCCCCCTGTGGCTGCTCCCCGGGGACACAAAGCTTACCAGGCCCTGGTTAAAGCAGAGAGGGACCGGCTGGAAGGTGTCTGGGGTGTAGTGTGATGGCTGGAAGGCACTGCAGGCTGGCTCCGAGGGCGCATCCGACTGCAGACAGGAATCTATCAGCTGCTCCAAGTAGCTGGGGCTTTCCTCACAGGAGAGGCAGTTGGAAAACTGCCAGGAGGGACAGCAGTTGGGAACAGAAGAGATGGGCTCTGCATCAAAAGGGGCTGGGAGAGAAGGGAGAGCAGACAGGAGCAGGTTATTCAGTGTCACACGGGGCAGGTTTTGCCCCAGGCCAGGTTTCAGTGCTCTCATGTGTTCAGCAGCCCTGTGGATTTAGACAAAGGAAAAGGTCCTGCGAGTTCAGGGTGGATTTTCTAGGGAAGCAGAAACCAGGAGGAAGATGCTCAGAACATGTGAGTAACTTGGGGAACTTCAGTCCCCTTGGAAAGAAGCTCTTTAAACACTGCTGGAAACTCTTCTGGCCCCAGGCATTTTGGACTGGGATCCAGATGGAAACTCCCTCAGATTCTTGACCCTCCAGCCTTCCTACAAGTGTTTACAGAGCCAGAATCTTGCCATGCAGGGATTTATGCTCCACAGCCTGGCACAGGGCTTGTTCCCGTGCCTCACCCATCTCCAGCCACAGGGCAGCTGCATCTGCAGGAAGAAGGGGATCACAGGAGAGTAATTTGCTCTTTTATCCCCCAAACAGCCAGACAGGGGACGAAGTTCTGAGCAGACCAAATGCAGCAGCTCAGGGATAACGTGGCACTGCCTCCACATAGTGTTCCTGGCCAAAGGGTGAGTTCCTGGAAAGCTCTCAGCAGAGCTGGCTTTTCAGCATTATTGTCCTTTCAGCCTGTGTTTAAATATGGTGAAAAGCAAAGCCCTGTCCACGTGAAGGGCACAGGGCTGAGGGCAGTGGAGCTGCACACACAGGTCCAAGGTGGCAGCATTTGGCTGGATGTGGGGAGGAAGTGGAAGCACCCAAAATACATAAACTGGTGGAGGCTTTCCAGCCTGAAAAAGCTTTGGTACGTCTCACATTTCCTTATTAACATAAGCAAATTGCTTCCCAACTATGAATGGTTCGATAATTCCCTTGTCCATGCAATGTGCCTGGACAACTTTTTTGGTCTCTGGGCTTTGGCTGAGGAATAATTGAAGGATCTGTGAGCCCAAAGTGCTGTTCCCCCACCCCTCTCCCCCCTTTCCTTGGATATTCACAGGCAGGAGGAGGAAACTCTTTGTGTTGTTGAGAACCTGACACTCCTCTCACTCCTCTGGATGCTGCCAGGAGAGAGAGAACAGAGCAGGAGTCAGCCAAGTGCTCCAGGGCTGACCCTCTGTGTCCAGTGAAACCCAGAGAGCAGAGCCTGGGGAAGGTGATGCCAGCAGTGTTATTCCCTGGGGGATGTGCATCCCTTCCTGAAGGGGACCTTGGTCCTTGCTGTGGGTAAAACGACCTGCAGAGAAGAGAGGGGGTGAGAGTGCTCCCGAGGGGTGAGAGTGCCCCTCATCTGCATTCCATGGGCTCCTTTCAGGTGCTGATTGGCTGCACCGCGGGCAGTGCCTGACTCAGCCAAGGGCTGGGAACGCTCCGGGCTGTGGGAAAACTGGGAAGGGAGTGGGATGGGACATGTGCACCGGCTTTGTACCAACCTGGGTGAGGCGGAGACACAGACTCTGAGAACTGGATGCTGCTGCTGCTGCTACCCCAAGAAACCTGGGCAAAGAGAGAGGAAGGAAAGGACACAGGGGAGAGCAAGGTAAGTCCGGATTTCGGTGTAACCTATTTATGTAAACCTTATTTCCCTCATTTCCACCTGGGAGACTTCCCTGGCGCTGACAGAACATTAGATTGATGTGCATAACATGATTTTTCCTGTAGCAACGTGGGAGAAGCACAACCCCAGGCTGGTTTAAAGCCCTTGAGCCAGCCCCGTGCTGGGCTGATCTTTCTGCTGCATTTCTGACTCCACAGAGGTTTGCTTTGAAAACTGACGTGTGTTCAAACGAATGCCCTTGAAACGAATGTGTGTTCATTTCCAGGACCGTGAATTCCACAGTGGAAGGATCCCAAAGAATTCCTAGGGGTGAATATTACTGAGAATGAGTAATTAACTAATGACAACTGCGGGTGTCTCCATGGCTGGGCATCAGAGTGGGTTGCTGTGCTCGGTGCTGATGAGGTTGGAGAGCCAACTCTGGCACTGCTCCCCACTCCAACACAGCTCTGTGCTCTGTGAAAAGGGACAGCCTCGTTTTTTAAGGGATATTGGAAGCTGAAGGGGACAGATCACCCATTTCTAGGACCTGCTGGAAGCGAGAAATCCACCCCAAAAGCAACGGGAGTTTTGATGCTTGTTTGGGACCAGGATTTCACTCTGCAAATACAAATGCTGCTGTCGTTTGGTTTTGGTGTTGTTTTGGTTTGGTTTTTTTCCTCTCAGTTTTAACTCATACAAGCTTCCTCTTCATTTCCTTTATTCCACATGCTCTTGAGTCAGCAGCTCATTTCCCTGGCAACAACTTCCCAGCACACCCCGTGCACTTAATTCACGGGACAGTGGCTATTCTGGGCTGGGAGTGCCTGCAGGACTGACCACCCCTCTCCTCTCTGGTGACATGTGCAACCAGGCAGACCTCTGGGGTTTTCCTCTCCAGGGCTGCACACACCTTGTGCAGCTCACCGAGGTAACCCCCTGCCCTGCCACCGCTCATTCTTTCCTGTGTGGGCTCGGCAGGCGATGTGATGTGATGTGATGTGATGTGTAAACCGGCGGTGGGAAGTGAAAACCGGTTCGGCTCAGCCCTTGTGATGCTGCCGGGGCTGCAGGGGAGGAGTGACCCAGCATTTCCAGAGCCTGGCAGTTCCGTGCGCTGCTCCCCCGGCCCCCTGTGCCCGTGCCCGAGCAGCTTTCTGTGCGATCGGCTGCAGCGAGGCACAGCCACTGAGATCTCAAAGCCTTCCGGAGCCACGAACCAGGAGGAAATCATGATTTACCAGCCTCTCTGTGCAAATCCCTGGAGTGGCTGGAGC